GTGGAATAACCCTTATTGTTGTATTTGAGTAGTGGAATAACCCTTAATGTTGCGTTTGAGTAGTGGAATAACCCTTATTGTTGTGTTGGAGTAGTGGAATAACCCTTATTGTTGTGTTAGAGTCGTGGAATAACCCTTATTGTTGTGTTGGAGTAGCGGAATAACCCTTATTGTTGTGTTGGAGTAGTGTAATAACCCTTATTGTTGTGTTTGAATAGTGTAATAACCCTTATTGTTGTGTTTGAATAGTGTAATAACAGAATCATAAAATATGTTTTTGTTTGTAGGATAAAATCCGTCTTCTCCAGGATGATCTCGAGGCCGAACGTGAGCTACGACAAAGGGTAAGTAAAAAAAGTCTGTGACTAATTCTGTCAACGTTTAAATAATGCTCTTAAGATGTTGGTTGGGAGAAAATAGTAATAACCTTCGGGGTAATTTCATCAATACGTCGAGATAAAGACAGATTTGTTAACTTCTACAATCAGTACTTAATCAGAAGATTGGATGTTTATGACTGGTGCTGTCATCAACCTCTGTCGGTAATCTTGTTATATACAATACACGCTTTCCGTTTATAACCTTGTGAAAAAAACCAAGAAAGTTTCTCGTGCTTCCTTGTTTACTACCCCCCTCCCCCCTCTTCACCCTTGAACAGAAATACAACGTTAACGAAGGATCTCTCCTGCCGTAGAAGTACATACCTAACTGTTAGATGACTCGTCTTTAGGGGTTTCTAAATCTGGAGGATTGTAGCTGGTTACTGTAGAACCAAAAATAGATATATAAAATACTTCCTCGGCCTCGTCTACATCTTTTCCTTATATACACACACACATTACACGAGGAGCCGATAGACCCTGTCATGTATCAATACATTTATGTTCTAAAAAACCTTTGTTTTACTTCTTCGATTTTAGTATACAAGCGCTATAGAAATTAAACCCTATAAAATTTAACTTTAACGAACAGCCTGATTCTTCTGTGATTTATACGAAATCTGAAAAATGTAATAAAAGTTAGAAAAATTATTATATTTTATAATTTCCAGTTTGAATACAAGATAAATGTATAATACAACATGGAGTTTTAATGTAACAATATAATAGAAAACGTATAAATAGATGTATAATACGACACGGAGTTTTTATGTAACAATAGAATAGAAAACGTATAAATAGATGTATAATACGACACGGAGTTTTTATGTAACAATAGAATAGAAAACGTATAAATAGATGTATAATACAACATGGAGTTTTTATGTAACAATAGAATAGTAAACGTATAAATAGATGTATAATACAACATGGAGTTTTAATGTAACAATAGAATAGTAAACGCATAAATAGATGTATAATACAACATTTACCCTTCTTCCTGGATGTACGATATAATGCCAAACATATTTATAGATGTACGATACAACATTAAGACTTTTTTCCTTGGTGTACGATATAATACCAGACCCATTTATAGATGTATGACACAACATTAAGACTTTTTTCATAGATATAGGATATAACTGATTTTTGTTGATATACGTACATTTTCAGATGCACAGTAATCAAGACTGTATCTCCGATGTCACGTGCTACACTTCTACAACACCTCTCAACTTAAAAATGTTTCTTGTATATTTTCTCAGGTGGAGAGAGACAAGGGGGACCTCTCGTTACAGGTGATGCAGTTGACTGAACGACTCGAGGAGGCTGAGGGGAGCAGCGAAAGTCAGGTAGAGTTGAAATCTGTAGTCAATATTAGACAAAGTTACATGATACACGTGAGAGTTAAAACAAAACAAAAACCACACTCATGTAAGGCTGTAAACTCAAACTGTAGCCTAAATATGCCTTTTAGAGCTTTAACCATAGCGACTTTAAACGCCATATTGAATTTTGAACCTGGACTTGATGGCAGATAGTGATATGTATCAAAATACCAATGACACCAACTCTATTGAATTTGTAATTGGTTCTAAGCCAATGACACCAACTCTATTGAATTTGTAATTGGTTCTAAACCAATGACACCAACTCTATTGAATTTGTAATTGGTTCGAAACCAATGACACCAACTCTATTGAATTTGTAATTGGTTCGAAACCAATGATACCAACTCTATTGAATTTGTAATTGGTTCGAAACCAAT